GCACTGTCTGTACTTGCGCCACTGTTTGGAGCAAATAAACCAGGCTATGCAAAGTGTCAGAAATTGACGTTACGCATGGCTGTAATGAGGAAGTAGAGAAATGAAAAAAGAAACAAAACAGTTGCATGGAGAGAAAAAATGGAGAGAGGAATGTGAAGTGGACAAATTGCTACCAGCCATTTTTCAATGCATTCTAGGAATATCTGGGAGATGGCGACAGCTGAAAATGTCTGATCAGTTGTGAAGTAAAACCTTGTTTACAGTTAAATCTAAGAGGCTGTTTACACCTAACATTAAAATGCGTTTGGGTGATCGGATTGCAATTGGATAGTGCTAGAGCACATGAAAGTACACAAATGCAAATGCACTCACACACTGAGGACAGATTGTGATCTGATTGGCCAAACCACCTCACAGATGCATTGTGACCACATTGAACCCAAGTCTAAATGCGAATGCATTTTCAATCCACATACTGTGTGGGCAGAGTTTACTGCTAACTAAGCTAGCTATTATACTGCTGAAGCTAATGTGTTCACAACACAAAGGCCACAGACTCTGAATAACCACCAACTTTACCTTTCCTGCTAAAGTTTCCTTCTTATCTAACTTACAAACATAAACACACTTCTTGCACTGCAACTTAGCTTGTTGAAAGAGCGACCAAACATTCACCAGGGAAAAGAGCACCGCTAACGTCTGTTTGCAGGCTACATAGCTATGCTAATTAGCTGTGCAGCAGCAGCACAGCATGCAAATGTACCTGTCACTAGTTAGAGGCTGGTGTGGTCCTTATTTTTCAATACTACTAAAAACATGCACGTTGTCTGTCCAAGACTTCTAGGCGTCTAGGCATATAGTTCTGCTGCACTGATTTTGATCCTTTATTTAAACTGTCCATTGCAAGAACTACAGTATGATAGAAGTGCGATGTTAAATCACTTCAGCACTCTCTTAATGAGAACGTCACATCCCTTTTGCAATTATTAATAATAAGATAATCTGTGTGAAAATTGAGTTGAAATGTGCCTTTTGGACATTTTATTTGGAAATAAATATACCTCAGTGTGTCAAGTGAGTTGTGTGATATAAGCTGAGATATTTTGCAATCTGAGGACTGCATGCTGCAGTATGTCAGAATTAGTCAGTTTGGCTAAAAGCCATAAATTTTATAGATGAATTGCTGGAAAACAGAACCGATAGCACACTTTCCCACATCTGAAGTTACAATCTATCCCATAATGCACTTTAAGTGCATATTTTAGGTAAACCACATGCAAGAATGTCTTTATTTCCTACTGTATCACTGGGAATCGCTTTAGGATATTTATTTTGACGGACATGACATAAACAGCTGTGGTAGACTAGGTTGTAGTGTTACGTTTTGTGAGGAGTGAATCTTCAGACCAGCTGGGAAATCAGAAGAAGCCAGAGCTCAACAACAAACAGCTGCTCTTGTGCCAATGATCAATACACTTCAACTGTAAGCAGGTTGTCTGTGCTCTTACACTTTAAAACTACATAAATAAATCAAGTGCATGGTGTGGGGGGGGGGCAGAAAAACATATCAGATTCTTCAAATCTGTGATATCTGGCAGCATTTTATATACAATTTTCTTCAAACAAAATGAAAGACTGCTGGTGTGACTTGCATGAAAATGCTGCTGTGGTGTTAAGCAACCTTCAGGGAGAGAAAGACCTGAGCCGATGGGAAGGAGTGGTGGGGGGTATGTTTTCCCAGGCCCTGTGATGAATTGTAAAACATCTATCTAGAAATGAAATGTTCATCGATTTTTGGTGCGTCTTGTGTGTTCTCTTTCAGCCTTCCATCATTAGTGAGGCTGTAAAGGCATGTTGGCCACACTTGCACAGCTGCACTAAAAGTTAACCTTCAAATTTAATTTAAACTGACAAGAAAAAAAGCTTTCCCCTTGGCTGATTAGTGATTAGTAAGTTAAATCTGCAGGCATATTAGTCAAGGGAACCAGACAGCCACGTTTATTCTGCATCATGATGCTTGTCAATGAACTGTGATGCTAAATCTGACAGGATCACAAAATCCAGACAAAATTCCCATGCACATATGAATAATATACAAGGAAATCGGGATTGAAGGATTATGTACATCAGTAGTTTTGGGTAGTTTTTGCTTGTCCCAGCTGCATTTGTTTTGTTTTAGTGACAGTATTGTTTTATTTGAGGTGACAGTAACCACAAAGTTAGTGCAATTCTAAGTGGGATGTTTTTCTTGTCAGTAACATGAATTTGCTGCAATTAAGCTGCTCAGTGGCTAGAAGAACAATGTTTTACAGGGCAACCTTTCTCTTTATGGTGAAGAGTTGCTGTGATGGGATTAAAAAAGGTGTGGGTTTACACTGACATCTGGTGGAAGATGTTTGAGCGTGCAATATACAATATTTAAGCTAAATTATCCTGTCAATAATGTAATATTTCATACAAGACAAGTTGTATTAGATGCCTGTTATTCTGACCCATTTAAACCCCGTGTTTTGTTGTACTTCCACAGTCATTTTCATTTACATTACATTTACTCATTTGCCAGATTGAGGAACACCACACAAGCATCAGTAAAATAAGAGATCTACGAGCAATAAATACTTGTAAGAGCAATTAGCGCATACGACTTCTATGGGATAAATACCTAAGGGGAAGAGGTAAGTGTTAACAATTATTGTAATCAATACAAGAGAACTGTAAGGAGATAGCAGAAGTCCATGTTAGAGGTTAGAAGTGTTATAAGAGGAAGTGTTCTCTGAGTAGATGAGTTTTCAAGAGCTTCTTGAAGTTAGAGAGGGACGTCCCTGCTCTGATGGCATGTCGTAGCTCGTTCCACCATCATGGTGTCACAGATGAGAACAGCCGGGACTGAGATTGCTTTGTGTGTAGGGATGGTGGAGCACAGTGGCCGGGAAGGAACGTAGGCTTGTATTATTGAGTTTAGGTAGATGGTTGCGGAACCAGTAGTCCCTCTGTATACAAGCATTAGTGATTTTAATTTGATTCAGGAGGCCACGGGGAGTCAGTAGAGGTTGCTGAGTAATGGAATGACACGAGACTCACTGCTGCATTCTGAACAATTTATAGGGCATTGCAGTAGTTGAGACAAAACATAACGATGGCCTGTACCAGACACTGGGTCTAAGTAATTTTCCTTTTTTTGATCATTCATACAGCAATAAACCCAAATGCCAGACAAAGGCCTCACACTACAAAATATTATAGATGCAATAAACGAATATAGAAAATATCCTTTAAAATTATAAATTCACCAGTTATCAGCTTTGATTATTTGAATTAAGTACATTGTTCCTGGAGGAATTAATGTACATAAAATTTATACAAAAAACTGTTTGGGGACCCACATTTTTTTCTTCTTATGAAAAACCAATATGCAGAAGTATTGAAGTGGTTAAACCTTTTGTTTTGCTACAAACTTAACTTGCACATTGCATGGACATAACAAAATAAATAAATATCCATTATGCATTTGTATTATACTAAACAAGGAAACGTTTCCAGTAAATACTACATTGGCAATGTGAGAACAAATCAGCAAAAGAAATTTACAGTATGTAGTCCTACACAGTCAAATACTTATTTTACAGGTCAAACCCGTGAGACCGAAACATAGATAACATCAAATTCCATTAAGAGATTTGACTTATTATGGATAATTGAGGGGTAGTGCTGTGTAAAATGTAGGCTACATCTGGGCAGAAGTAATGTGTCATTTTCTGTAACTTTTAGTTATCAGTTATCAGTTCAAAATCACGTTCATAAGCAATTCTCATAAAACCAGAGTTAAGACATATCAAGCCAATAGAACGATGTGCAGTGTATTTTTTGAGCTGTAAAAGTAGACACTGATTATTATTTCAAGAATTCAAATGGCTACAGAATTTTTCTCATCTGCATGACCTGGCAATAGATTCAGAATTAAAATGAATTTATGCAGTTTGTGCTCATCACTGTAACATCTGTGTCTCTACCATCATTCACACAGCTTGCTGTCTCATTCGGTTCACGTTAGAGGTCACACTGTTCCGACATTTGAAACCATGTAAAACTTTTAATAGCTAACTGCTGCCAATCTCTGGGGCCGACCTTCACAGGCTGTGATTGAACTGTGGGAAAAGCGGGTGTAGGACGCTCTGCTGAAGGTTACACAACACTGTGATAAGAGGGGAGTCTGCTAGGATCATAATTGGTGGCTTTTTCTGTTGAACACGTTTGTTAAAAGATTCCATATAGACGTCAAACTCTCTGACTCAAAAAAGACAGGTAATGAGTTGAGGTTTTATTGTCTCCGCTTTAGACGTACCAGTACGCTGCTTGACCACACTTACATGCCACATGTTTTTTATGCTTGAAACAAATTCCATCCCAGAATGCCTTTGACACCCCCCAAAAGAGGGATGTGAACTCTTTACTGAAAATAGAAAGGGGAAGGCCAGTGGAGTATTGTAAACACAATGGAAACATCTTAATTTTTTATGTTTGGGAACAAAAGGAATATTTCATAAGACAGCAAAATAGCCTCACAACAATCTATACAGTGTTCTAGGCTACTGATTAAATGAATTTTGTATCTTTAACATACCAAACCCTGTCATACAGGTTACCGTCACTGTTTACAGCACTACTTCTACGAGCTTTGAAACAAGCTATGCTGTCACAGCTGTTACAGTGAAACTATTACATTTTTCAGTCAGGAACATACCTACACTTCCTACTGCTAACAAGTCTCTTACATTATTTCTGTGTTCATTTATTCTACTATGGTGTAGAAAAGGTAACAAGTCACACTTTCAACTTGTTGCATTCAAGCAATGATCATAATCATACTGATCTCAGGTACTTCAGTCAAACTTCTCCTTGGTCCTTCATTACACCTTTTAAACCTTCATCTTGTCTAACACTGAGGATTTCCTACGAGCATCTATCTTGTCATCTCTAGTCTCTTTTTTGTTTACTGGAGCTGCAGGAGATCACCAATCTCTGACCGCCCTCTCGGCTCTCTCAGAGCATATAATTATTGTAATCACAAATTACCGCTTGACATGGTTGTCAGGCCTCTCCTTGCAGTGACAGATTTCTTCTGTGAATCTCGTTGAGGACGACGTCGCTGTTGGAGCCTTCAAATATTCCACTGTCCCCAAACACAGAGCCTTTGGGAGATGAACGCAATAATAGTCTAATTATATGTAGTGTAAGATTGTATAAAAATACAGGTCAGACATTGCAAACCGCGACGTGTGAATGTACCGCTGTTGGTGCGATCACTGATGACAGAGGAGCTTCGAGTGGTAAAGAGGAAATCTGCAGTGGCTGCCGTGGTACCCGATGGATTCTTGTTGTTCTGTGTTGCCGTCCGACTCCATTCTGCAAAAAAGTGGACAACAGTTAATTAAAATATATGTTCTCATTATTTGCCAGATTTATCTCACAAATGACAATGGGAAGATAAGAACATGTATATTAATATCCATTAATATTGATATTTTTTCTCACTTCAGTTTGGGAGATAATCATTCTCTCAGTTCTGGAACAACATTTCTAAGGATGAGCTGTGGGCTCCAACTTCAGCCTCTTTATTTTAGCTATATTAGTTTACATTTTGGAAAATTGAGACCATTAAAAGACATGCTGTATCTCAATTTATCTTTAACTTATCTTAAATTATCTCAGACAACCATGGATAACTTTGATATTAAAGAAAACTCCAGATTTTCAGGCAACTTCTGTAGTTACAAGGAGTGTCTTTGTTCTGATTTCAAATATTTATTTATGGAAGCAATATGATCATCAGAAATAACAGGGTAGATCAAAGTTATGACTCTAAAAAGGCATTGACACAAATTTGGGTAATACCTTAATTTTTGCCATGAGCTGTGTGTCACAGCTGGTGATAAGCGGCCAAATCACCAGACACTAACTTACCTCATTCAGTATCTTGTCTCATGTCCCTTCCTAATCTGCCCAATTACATTATCAGAGGATATAAGAACACATTTAGATGCCCACCTGAGTTTTCAGCCAATCGCAGTCTTCCACAGCAAAGATAAGTTCTCCACTGTCTGCGGACATTCTCCTTCACAGCACAGTGGAAAACAAAGACAAGGAAACCTAGACAGGACAAACAGTAAAGAAATTAGCTTGTGTCAGTTTTATCAGAAAAGTGTCAAGTTTTCTTCTGTGGGAGTAGACCCCAATATATTTTACGTCTGACCTTGCAGAGTGTTGAATAAAGTGAAAAGGTAAACAAAGGGTAAGTAGAGGGGTCCCCAGGCGAACAGGGCGAAACCCCAGGTGAGGCCGAGCAGGATGACGAGGCCAGCGATGCTGCGCATGTCTGTCATTACTCCCCTGTTAGGGGACTGGTTCTGGGGGTTCTGCTTCTTGATCCGGGCCAGCTGGACCATAACCATGATGAAGACCAGCAGGCACAGAGCGAAAATCAGGATGAAGTAGGCCACCACACCCACGTAAAAGGCGACGTTACTACGCAGCCAACAGCTACAGGGGAATAGATAAAGACAGAAAGGTTCAGACTGTATTTAACAACAAAATCTTCAAAAGAAAAGTAATGCCTGCTCGCTATCGTCTGGGTGCGTGCCTACTAGGGTGTTGAAAGCTACTTTACTTGGTGTTCAGGTAGGTTAGCAGGGTGTCACCAGTTGTTTGGGTGTTCAATGTGGTTTGTAAGGCATTTCAAGGTGGTTGCTAAGCAGTTGCAACATCTGATTTGAATTTATTTTGCATGAGATATATGTGTTTAAAGATGAATGAACAGTGGATATTTTAACTGTACACTTAAACCTCTGGTGTAAGTCAAAGGTCATGAAGATTCTGTTATATTTAGGTGTGCCACTAAGCCAGTAGTGCACAGTAGTTTTTTATCTCTCTCGCCCTCCAGTGGACAAATACATTAATAATAGGGATAATGAGGGGGAAAAAGGTTTTAGATTTATTCTTTCAATGTCAGTATTCCTGTGAAAATATTTTTTTAAATCTTAATTTTATGATGACGAAGCTTATTTTTATTTCTTCTTAATTAAAAGGATTTTTTCCTGAAGTACTGGATACATTTATTAGATGTATGGCCTATGTTGGCCAATTCTCTACCCTTTGACCAAAATAAAAGAAGACCCTTTGGGCCAATCTAATATAATTGCAGACACGTTAAAAACAAACTTATTAACACACATCCAGGCTACTGGAAAAGTATTTTAGTGATTGCTCTGTTATGGCTGGTTGAAAAAAAATCTAACTCAAATCTAACAAAACTCAAATGCTGTGTTTACAAAAGGTTATTAAAATTTAAGCATAACTTGCAAGTCATCTGAAGTGCCGTCTGTGTATTTTCCATACGTGACCAGGCCGTAGTTGTCTTTGTCCACTGATATTACAATGATCACCACTATAAGAGGAATCCCTGCAAAGACCAGGATGTTAATCAGCAGAATCATCTCATTATATCCAATAAAAAGTGGTTTGAGAAGAAATAGGTGTTTAAATTAATACACTTCTAAAGTTGTTTTTTAAATTTATAGAAATTAAAAATCAAGAAAAAGTTTTGTAAGGCATTGGTTGACAAAACAAATTAGTTTGAAGCAGTTACTCACCCCAGCCCATCAGTGAGAACTTGAGCATGTATCTGCTGAGGTAGGGAGTGAACACCTGGATGACGCTCAGGTACATGTGCAGGGCTTCAAGCCCCGCCCAGGTGAATGATGTCAGCAGGAAGTAGTGCAGGAAAAAGGCAGTGCTAATGCACAGCCCGATCGCTGGGTACAGCGCCAGCCAGCCATCCAGCAAGAAGACCAGGTTGAGGAGAAGAAGGGACATGCAGAGCTGAACCAGAATCTTGGCAGGGATATCCCGGAGCAGTTTTCTGCATTTAAAGAGTTTTTTACAATAAGAGCTTAATTACCGTGGTTACGAGGTTTCTTGAATAAAGCTCAGATTGAAGGAGTCTTGGCTTTGTAAAGACATAGATTCTTACTGAAATAAAATATATGTCAGTAGAGTGACAGCAAGAAAAACAGCAGAGATCCCACAGCCGATGTAGGTGATGAAAGTAAGAATTTGTGCCTGCTGGCGGTCAGTTATTCCCTCTCTGGACAAATCCTGTATTTAGGACAGGGTACACACACAAATATACAGTGAATGCACATTGAACAATTTCTCACTTTAACCATGTAGAAAAAGGAAGTCACATCATTTCTGTTGCCCTTTCAACCTGTAATTTAGTTGTTCATTTAATTCCCTATATACATGTTGTAACTGAGGTTTGAAGCACTTTATTGATACTATTATTGTCAATAAACTGTATCACACACATTCAAACAAACGTACACGAACCAGCAATATTGCAAAAGATGTGAGATGGTTGCAGCTGCAGGTTGTGTCTTCCGCTGTGACGTTGACAACAAAGCAGCCGGCAGAGCTCCAACCTCCTCCACCACCTGAACAAGAGAAATACAGCAATCAGGAATATTAATACCTGTGGAGTTGGCTCCCAACTAACTTGATTTGGCATGCATGAATTCACCGTTCTGAGTGAAGTCCCAGAATGCACAGGAGGCCACGTAGTTTGCCTGCAAACCAAGAACAATTTAGGAGAAGAAAAGCATCACAGAGGAACTTTGAGTGGTCGTTTAGCAAAGATTTTTAACCATTTATATAAGGAAATTTACAGTAATTTACAAGTGACCTTTCTATTTTGAAAAATACTAAAAAAATTTCTATTATGTTTATAAATGACAAAATTTGGTATTACAATTGTGGTCGTATTGTTATTATACATTGTTATGAATTAATAATTTCTGGAGGCCATGAAGACAGTGAAATTTGCATCCTTTTAATAAATGGTAAATAATAAAAGGCTTAAATAAAATTGGCAATTACTTGTAGTATCTTAGTTATGTGTGATTCTTTATCTAGATGAATGGGTTCATGAGAAAAATAATGATTTTTCATGCATGTTCACTTACATTTATGGGTTTAATGTTTTGGATGGTAAACTGAATGTTCTCAGACAGGTTGCTTATTGACAGATTGGCCACACTAGAGCTCAGGACTGGACTTACAAGGGTTTGGTTATCTAATGTTGCATCCTGCGAAAAAAAAAAAAGAGAGAGAGAGATGGACTCCTCTTGAAGTAAGGTAATATTTAATTAGCATTTCATTTAATCACAGTAATTGCTCTGATGAAAATATTTTATTATATAATCTTTTGTCCAACATGTTACAGCTGTTTCTTTTTTTCTATTGAACCATACCTGGCTTAAAAATAAAAACAAATGCTGGACTTGATAAGTAAAAGTTGCTGCTTATAAATCATTAAATATGCACCGATAAATACTTCAATGCTCTGTGAAAGAATCTGTAGATAGATGACAGAAGACAAATCCAGGAGTACCTGGAAGAGGATAGATTTGGTGTAGAAAGTGAACTGGATCCTGCTGGCCTGCTGCTGCTGCTCAGGACTGAGACCCGAGGTGAGGGAGGAGGGCATGAATACAGACCCAAGAGCAGACGGCAACCTCTTGGACCGGGATCTGCTGAAGGTCTGGAGCTAGACAAACAAACGTTTAACAAATGGTTAATGACAAAGTCTGGTTCTTTGGTAGTTTTCAGCTGTGCTTTCCTTATGTGTTTAAGGTCAGGCAGTGCATTTAAAGACATTGGACCACCTGTTCCATGAGATTGTGCTGAGATTTGATCAGTAGCGTAATCTACACCCTGGAAATTGCCATTTATATATTCACAAAGATGTTCCCAAATAAAAAAAGAAAAATGTCACACCAGTTGCTGTTGGAAATCAGTAAACACATTTAGCAGTGTCAGTACAGTGTGCAGTATAGTGTGGTAGTGTGTCGTCCATGACTAATATGAGAGGCGGTCATGTGACAGTCACAGAGATATTAGATGGTTTAATATTGTAGCCTACACTCAGTGCAACACATTGATACTAGATAGAACCTAAGGAAGATTGTGTAGTGAGAGAATTTTCCTAATTTTGGTTTAATTTTTCAGCTCATAATTTATTCTGATTCAGGGAATTTGATTTAGTTCTTAAGTCAGTGTGCGTTTTTGCCCTGTACATGACTCGTCTGACAGGTCTGGACTACATAAGATCAAATCTTCTCATACACGCGGTTCTTGCATGAGTCCCATTGTGTCTCGTGAAATGCAGTGAGACCAGATCTGACTTACCTGGACATTATCAGTGTTGAAAATGTCGACAGATGTTGCTGGAAAGTTGGTCCCATCAACCGTCCTCACTGTCAGAACAAGTGAATCTGAAGAGACGATCTCTCCGTCACCTGTGACAACCAGCTTAAGACCCACAGCATCTACCATTTGAATCAGCCTGTCAACAGGAAAGAAACAAAACAAAACATTTTAGAAACATCAGATGTACCTGAATATGTGTGTGGGTGAAGGTTGTGTGAGTTGTACCTGTTAGCAGATGCAGAGAGTGCCACTGAGTCAGCCCCCATCAGGTTGCTGATTACATTGATGACCTTTTGTCCCACTGCCTGGGAGACAGTGGGGCCCTCCAGAAATTTCTCCAACTCCCCCACCAACTGTGCGACCTGCAACACCCATCAAACTCTAAAGTTTACTTTCACTGACTGATCTAACTTTCAAAACATCTACAGTCAACACACTGGCTGACACAACGTTAAATGGAAACAAATCCCTTTAATATTTTGATGCTAGTATCTGACTGACATTCTTTTTGGTAAAGTAAAACTTGCATTTAAAATATTTCCATTTAGATTTTCCATTATTTCCATTTGACCAGGTCAACTGAAGATAGAAATATTTCCTACAGATATGTTGCTACAGACAGCAACACATCCAAATGATAAAAAATCTATCAAGCAGTCATTAATGACGTCAAGTTATTTGAAATATCCATAGATTTCTAGACAAAATGTGTAAAACTAGTTCAGATATTCATGTTATTGTGTTTCTGCGCATACTTCAATAGATCAGTAACTTCACCTGAAAAGAGTTGAGCTGAGATGCATCCTGTGTTTGATTCAGCAGCTCGTTTGCCTTTTCCTCCTGGGCATCTTGGCTTTTAGCTGTCTCTGCGGTGGTTGGGGAGGTAGTTCCAGCACCGTGGTGAGGAGTACAGCAAGTCGTCAAGTTGCATGCATCAATGATTCATGTATGGTGATATTGATAAAATAAATCACCATAGCGAAGCATAAAGTTTACTGGTCAAGGCCGTTACCAAGAAATCCTCCTATTAAAGCATTCAAGCATTCTATCAAAGAGGATAAAGGAACTATTCTAGTAATACATTTATTATGCTTTTATAACTTTATCCATGGACTGCACAATTGGCCACTTTCACAATTCATTAAAACTTTAAGAAGCATTCAAAAAAGCAAACTATTCCAGCCAGTTTGATTCACCATATTAAAAAGCTATATTTGTGTCTTTAATCAAAATTTAAATGTTGAATTCTTAACTATACGTACCAGGGATGGTTGTGGTTGTGCTGGTAAGGGTGGTGGTTTGGAGAGTTGTTGTAGAAGAATTAGAGGAAACCATTGCAGTAGTAGTGTTAATCTGGGGCAAAAGTGTGCCATGGATAGTTGTAGTAGCTGTAGGGGTTGTGGAAGAAGTTGTGGCTTTATATTCAAGGGTAGTGTTAGCTGTAGTTGTTAAACTGACTCCTGGTCCTTTGGTTGCTAAGTCAAAATCAGCGGTTGAACTGCTTGCAGTTGAGCTCAGGTTGAAGCTGATTCCTGCAGTTTCGTTGAGCTTGATGCCAGTGGCAGCGTGATGTTATTTTTGTTGGTTGTTGTGATATTATCAGTCACTCTCACTGTGGTGTCATGTACAGTCTGGTTGTTCAGTGGAGCTACTGTGGGTTTAGTGCTGTTGTCAACAACAGACGGCATACTGTCAACAGTTGAGTTTTTAGTGGATGTTGTAGACATTGTCGTGTTTTTAAAAGGAGCAGTTGTGTTCTGTTGTGTTTCCCTGATAGGTGCAGTGGTTACACTGTCAGTGGCAGTTTTGTTTTGAGATACAGTAGTCGTGGTTATATTCTCAGTTGTAATGTAGTAGTTAGAAACTGTAGTTACATTATTCACTGATGTGTGATTAGGAGATGGTGTGAATGAGCTAACTGTCGTAGTAATGTACTGTTGTGTTTTCCAGAGCTGCTGGCTATCGTTACATTGTGCGCTGTTGTGTGAACAGGAGAAGGTGCATCTCTGGTTACATTGTGCTCTGTTGTGTGAACGGGAGAAGGTGTAACTCTGGTTACATTTTGTTCTGTTGTGTGAACGGGAGAAGGTGTAACTCTGGTTACATTGTGCTCTGATGTGCGATCTGGAGGTGTAACTCTGGTTACATTGTGCTCTGTTGTCTGAACGGAGAAGGTGCATCTCTGGTTACATTGTGTTCTGTTGTGTGAACGGGAGAAGGTGTAACTCTGGTTAATTGTGCTCTGTTGTGTGAACGGGAGAAGGTGTAACTCTGGTTACATTGTTTCTGTTGTGTGAACGGGAGAAGGTGTAACTCTGGTTACATTGTGTTCTGTTGTGTGAACGGAGAAGGTGTAACTCTGGTTACATTGTGCGCTGTTGTCTGAACAGGAGAAGGTGCATCTCTGGTTACATTGCGTTCTGTTGTGTGAATGGGAGAAGGTGTAACTCTGGTTACATTGTGCTCTGTTGTGTGATCTGGAGGTGTAACTCTGGTTACATTGTGTTCTGTTGTGTGAACGGGAGAAGTGTAACTCTGGTTACATTGTGTTCTGTTGTGTGAACGGAGAAGGTGTAACTCTGGTTACATTGTGCGCTGTTGTCTGAACAGGAGAAGGTGCATCTCTGGTTACATTGCGTTCTGTTGTGTGAACGGGAGAAGGTGTAACTCTGGTTACATTGTGTTCTGTTGTGTGAACGGGAGAAGGTGTAACTCTGGTTACATTGTGCTCTGATGTGCGATCTGGAGGTGTAACTCTGGTTACATTGTGCTCTGTTGTGCGAACGGGAGGTGTCTCTGGTTACATTTTGTTCTGTTGTGTGAACGGGAAGGTGTAACTCTGGTTACATTGTGCTCTGTTGTGTTATCTGGATGTAACTCTGGTTACATTGTACTCTGTTGTGTGAACGGGAGAAGGTGTAACTCTGGTTACATTGTGCTCTGTTGTGTGAACGGGAGAAGGTGTAACTCTGGTTACATTGTACTCTGTTGTGTGAACGGGAGAAGGTGTAACTCTGGTTACATTGTGCTCTGTTGTGTGAACGGAGAAGGTGTAACTCTGGTTACATTGTGCTCTGTTGTGTTATCTGGAGGTGTAACTCTGGTTACATTGTACTCTGTTGTGTGAACGGGAGAAGGTGTAACTCTGGTTACATTGTGCTCTGTTGTGTGAACGGGAGAAGGTGTAACTCTGGTTACATTTTGTCTGTTGTGTGAACGGGAGAAGGTGTAACTCTGGTTACATTGTGCTCTGTTGTGTTATCTGGAGGTGTAACTCTGGTTACATTGTGCTCTGTTGTGTGAACGGGAGAAGGTGTAACTCTGGTTACATTGTGCTCTGTTGTGTGAACGGAGAAGGTGTAACTCTGGTTACATTGTACTCTGATGTGCGATCTGGAGGTGTAACTCTGGTTACATTGTGCTCTGTTGTGTTATCTGGAGGTGTAACCCTGGTTACATTGTACTCTGTTGTGTTATCTGGAGGTGTAACTCTGGTTACATTGTGCTCTGTTCTGTGAACGGGAGAAGGTATCTCTGGTTACATTGTGCTCTGTTGTGTGATCTGGAGGTGTAACTCTGGTTACATTGTGCTCTGTTGTGTTATCTGGAGGTGTAACCTGGTTACATTGTACTCTGTTGTGTTATCTGGAGGTGTAACTCTGGTTACATTGTACTCTGTTGTGTGATCTGGAGGTGCATCTCTGGTTACATTGTGCTCTGTTCTGTGAACGGGAGAAGGTGTAACTCTGGTTACATTGTGCTCTGTTGTGTGAACGGGAGAAGGTGTAACTCTGGTTACATTGTGCTCTGTTGTGTGAACTGGAGGTGCATCTCTGGTTACATTGTGCTCTGTTCTGTGAACGGAGAAGGTGCATCTCTGGTTACATTGTGCTCTGTTGTGTGAACGGGAGAAGGTGCATCTCTGGTTACATTGTGCTCTGTTGTGTTATCTGGAGGTGTAACTCTGGTTACATTGTACTCTGTTGTGTTATCTGGAGGTGTAACTCTGGTTACATTGTGCTCTGTTGTGTGAACGGGAGAAGGTGCATCTCTGGTTACATTGTGCTCTGCTGTGTGAATGGGAGAAGGTGTAACTCTGGTTACATTGTGCTCTGTTGTGTGATCTGGAGGTGTAACTCTGGTTACATTGTGCTCTGTTGTGTGAACGGGAGAAGGTGCATCTCTGGTTACATTGTGCTCTGTTGTGTTATCTGGAGGTGTAACTCTGGTTACATTGTGCTCTGTTGTGTGATCTGGAGGTGTATCTCTGGTTACATTGTGCTCTGTTGTGTGAACGGGAGAAGGTGCATCTCTGGTTACATTGTGCTCTGTTGTGTGATCTGGAGGTGTAACTCTGGTTACATTATGCTTTGTTGTGTGATCTGGAGGTGTATCTCTGGTTACATTGTGCTCTGTTGTGTGATCTGGAGGTGTAACTCTGGTTACATTATGCTTTGTTGTGTGATCTGGAGGTGCATCTCTGGTTACATTGTGCTCTGTTGTGTGAACGGAGAAGGTGCATCTCTGGTTACATTGTGCTCTGTTGTGTGATCTGAAGGTGTAACTCTGGTTACATTGTGCTCTGTTGTGTGATCTGGAGAAGGTGTAACTCTGGTTATATTGTACTCAGTTGTATCATTTCGAGAAAGTGTAAATGTGTAGACTGCAGTTAAATTGAACTCTGTTGTGTTATGTGGAGAAAGTGTAAATGTGTCGATTGTTAAATTGTACACTGTTGTCTGTGACAATGCAGTTGTGTTAAATGTTGACTCAATTAGTGACGTTGTAGTTTGTAATGTTGAGTTGACAGAGGATACTGTTATGAATTCAGTTGTGTTTTGGTGTGCTGTGGTCATGCTTTGCAGTTTTGTATTTTCAGTGGGCATCAACAATGATGTGTTATCAGACATAGTTATGTTTTGTGTGCTGATTTGGAGGACAGGTTGTGCTGTTGAGGACTGTGAACTGTTAATTGTTGTGAGTGAAGTAGCCATGTTAGGCTGAGCTTTTCCTTGTGATGCATTTGTCTGTTGGACTGCTGCATTATTTTCAGCTGCTGTGTAAGCTTGTTTAGTAGTATTGGTCACCAACATTGGTGAGGTTTCAGTAGCTGTAGTAATGTTGCTGCTGGTCAGAGTGGGAGCCTGTGTTGTGCTTTGCTTGGTTGTGGGAGGGCAGCTGTCAGACAGAAGTACAGCAAGCGTCTCATTTGCCTCACTAAAAAAGAACACCAAAATATAAAACTTAAATTAGGTGAAATACGTTATTAACTTCATTGCAGGAGGCCAATGTCTTGGGTAAGGGCAATGGTAGCAGTATTAAGATTAGGATTATTACAATTATTACTTCACATATAAAATAACCTGAAGCAATACATTTTAAAGGCATATTAACCATTTTGGTCGGATGAGAAGATTGATACCACTCTCAAGTCTGCACTGCAAGTATAAAGCTACTGCTAACGACCAATTAGCTTAGCTTAGCACAAAGACTGGTTGTGGGGGGGAAACAGCTATGCTGCCTGCGTCCAAGCCAACACCCTGTAAAACCATTAATTAAAATGTCATATCTTGTTTGTTTAATCAGTACAAAACTGAAGTGTAAAAATTATACTTTCCCCTTTTTCCAAGCTTTTTTAATTTTGTAGACACACTTTGCTTTATAATTGACATTTTCCCTCAGCCTGACTCATCTATAAACTGAATTTGCCAGAATGACTATAAACATCATCAAACATCCTTTGTTTCTCTAGTTCCCTTTTTCCACCAAAAGAAGTGCTGCTTGTTCTCTAACAAACAGAAAGAGCATCTCATCTAAAGAGATCGCATGACTGTAAACCAAAGAAAACATAACTATATTGGTTTTCAAATGCCACCACCAGAGAAATGTTTTATACATTTACCATTTAAGCAGAGTGGGGTCAGACTGACAGACATCAGAGGTCAGCAGGTCACTGGCAACCCAGGTCAGGTTGGACGCCAACAGAGCACTGACAGGCAAACCAGGACCACCACAGGCCACTGCGAACAAACAGAGCACCATCAATAATATATACACAATATCTATTTATATATTATAGAGGTTTCATATTAGGGAAAAATTATAAATATGGAGACTAACCCATGCGTGTAAGTGGCTTTTCATTTGTTATGCCAATGTTGCTATCAATGAGTTGTTGCATAAGTTTATTCAGGGAGCAGCTATTGACAGGGCCAGACATCACCAGTATCACCATGCAGCTGTACAACCTAGAGACCAGCAGCAAATGGGTTAAAAAAGCCACCTTTACATACTGGTATTACCATATTTATGATCAAATACATTATCATCAATAGTGCATTCCTGGAGTTATCCTATATTGAAATATTATGATTTTCTTTAACACTGTGCCAAAATTCAACCTTGTACTTCCTCTTTCCCAATGAACATTGATTAGTCTGTGTCCACATAACAGACAAGAGGAAGAAACACGCCTACCTCTGTTTATTCCCATGGCATTCCAGATGAGCGCCCTGGATAAAGAAACAAATTTATGAAGCATGATTGATGGCTCTAGATCAATGAAAGTACATCTGTGTGATTTTATAAGGTTTGGGTTAATGCCAAACCGTCGTCTGCAGTAAGATTTACCTGGTAGCTCTTTGAAATCTCAGAATCTTGGCACATTGAACTGGAAACAAAGAATTGTCCATATGTATGAATTTTCACCACCAAAACCCTTTCTTATTCAGTATTAGGTTAACCTGTTCAATAACTTTCAACATATCATTTTATTTTGCAGCCTATGACATTGAGGATAGAGACTTACGATGACATTGTTTTACATTTGCTGGCTGCTCCAAGTGTCAGCAACTGCCAAATAAGGTTAGAAAGTCAGCACATGTCATATATACAATAGTAAATATAGTTCATTCATACTGTAGTATACATACCATTCTTTTTAGGAGATCAATGGTAACAAAAGCACTGGTAATATTAATTCTTGTGGCAAAAAACTGGCCTGAAAAACAAAAAGTTGTTGTTGTCAGGGGCAGTTTAGGACACACCTACTTCTGAGACTTTGTTTCAGTTAAAGGAATAGTTCAGTATTTTGGGAAATACACTTAGACGCGTTCTGCAGAGATTTAGATAATAAGATCAATACCACTCTCATGCCTGTAAATTAAATATAAAGCTACAGCCAGGACACCATAGCTTAATATTAGCACTAGCATAAAGAGTAGAAGCAGTGTGAAATAAATAGCCAAAGGTACAAAGGTCAAACAAATCCACCTATCAGCACCTCTAAAACTCATCATTTAACACATTATACATTATATCTAATTTGTTTAAAACTATTTGTGGTCATTAACAGGATTATGTGCCAAGTTTTTTGCCAAGCACCAGGAAGTCAATGTACGAACAGAGATTTTTTTTTCTCTATTTATTTGTAGAAAAGTAATGACAAGGCAACATATATAAGCAACATTGCAAAGGATACATACAACACATAAGCCAACAGAGATACAAAATGTTAATTTGTGAGCCTCAGAGATGCTGGTAGGTGGATTTCTTTTTACCTTGGAAGGAGTCTAGCCAAGCAGATTCCCTCTAGTGGAGCTAAGCTAACATGATAGCCTGCTGGCTGGAGCTTTATATTTGTCATACAGATGAGTTTGGTGTCAATCTTCTCACTAATCTCTTGGTATAAAAGCCAAAAAGTAAATTAAAAAACTATTAAATGGTAACATTGTGTTCTGTAGTGTGAACGGTAGAAAGGTCCCTAAAATATTACTAATTTCATTAACATCCCACACAGTCTTAAGTACACAATTACATTTAGCAGCTGTGTGTGGAGGGATATTAACACATACTATATATGCACAAACATTTTTGCTTGACATTGCAGTGCAGACATATGCAGATAGGCAGGAGGACAATATTTTGTCTGCTTTCTTACTTGCAGAATTACAGAAAGCAGTGCAGTCACAAAAGCGAGGCACTTCCCCTGAGGCAGAGACAAACATGGTTACAGCAGCGGAAGCAACAGTGAATTCTGGTGAATATAATTGGTGTTTTTGATACTCACTGCTGCAGGAATTTGTCTTAAGTTGTTGTGGAGCTGGGTTGGAGTTAGGCTCTATGAGGGAGCTAGTGAATAAACATAGATAATACAGAGTGTACACATATAAAGACATATATCAGAAAAACAAAAGGTATTGCTCACCATGTAAGGTTGGAGTATATGTTTGTCCGACAGATATCATCCAGAGAAGATGTGGATGTACACCTGTACACTAACCCGCCACTGGAGGGCTTCACATCCCCACAAAGATCTCGACCTGATGTGAACAAAATCAACATGAGTAATCTAATAATGCTGTGTGTGTGCTTTTTTAATTTTAGGCATGTAGTTATGAGTTATGGGGCAAGGCAATATATGTCTTCACAAGTAAGATGGTGTGTTTTTGTGTCAGTATTTGAGAGAGAGAGTGAGCAGATGATTTCTAGACCTTGACAGTGAGGACATTTTTTAACTTAACAACTGATTCTGTGTTTATTCAGAATTTGTGAGTTGTTTTCTTCCAGTTGGTGTTTTGCATGAATACAGTGGTTCCTCTGTTTTTGTTTACATGACTTATTCCAAACATGGGTGCATTTTGCATACTTGCAAAACACTGTATGTGTGTGTGCTTCCACTTGTATAACTGTGCGTGACTAAAAGGCACAATCCATGGTCCAAAGGTGAATTAAATTAAATCATGTTGTCATCTCAAATTGACATTGGTCTTTTAATACACAAACTAACACTAAACTGAGTTTTTAATATTTTTCTGTAGCAGTTTAAGGTTTCCTTACCAATGTTTGTTAATGTAGTCTTATCATTTAGGTGAACAGTACTGTGTGTTTTTATGTATGTGAAGAAACTGACTGATTGAAAAATGCTCACCGACTCTCTCCACCTCTCCTATGATTGTTGCTTGTATTTGCTGGTCTCCAGCTTGCTGCAGTGCAGAGACTCCAGCATGCTGCAGTTCACACGCCGAGACAGCGTAGCTGAGTTGCAACAACACATCACAGGTCGTTTCGCTGTAATTAAAGTATTCACACCACTGTGAGGAGGTGCAATTTAAAGTATATTTAGCAGTTACACAAAATGACAGGCTGTTACCTTATGTTCCTTTTAGCACTACAGTTCACCTGTAAACTCTGCAAAGAGAGTGAAAAAATTGCAGTCATTTGCATGCCTTATAGGAGAGTTTTTAAAGTGAAAGGATGTTTCCTGTTTCTGGGACAGACTGACCTGAAGTTGTCTGTCACTCTGACAGAAATCTATAAGGCCTGTTCCCTTTTTTGCTGCATCTCCTTTGCAACCAAACGCTTTTGACACCTGAGTGACAGATGGAGAGACAGATGCTAGAACTGTGTGGGAGGTGATGGGAGCTAAACACATACAGTTTAAGAATTAGGACAGTGACAAATGTTTTATTGTGTTTGCTCTGTGCTCCATCAATTTGGATTTGAAATGAAACAATTACTGAGGTTAAAGCCTTCATTTGTAGAAGTTTACACCCACATTCGATTAACTTTGTAGAAAGCATTGCCCTTTTTATACACAGTTCACATATATTAGGGGATGAGAATGTATTAGACAAACTAAATTTACTCAAATGTGATTTTGAGTAAATGTGATAATTCTGATGGTTTAAATTTTTGTTTGTTTAAAAGCAACAACCCAGGGGAAATCAGGGCTGTCTATGTTTTGATTTCTACTATTCATTCTCCCTTCACAGTACCCCTTTGAGGACACCAGTTAGAAATGTTAAATCTTACATGTAGTGGCTGTGAATACAGCCATAATATTGACTAGTTGGTAGAGACTTGAGTTTGTAAATCTTTCCAGATACACCTAGAGATGTTCCCTTAATGAACAAGCCGAACACCAAATCCAAAGTATTCTGAATCATCTACTGTAGCTTTTTGTATTACATTGTCAATTCAGGTATGGTACACAGTAGCTCCTGGTTGAAAGCTTACTGAAAGAAAGTAAAACCTGTGGTTATGTAGGCCTAGATTTGTATTGAACTAGTTCGGGTTTTTTGACGTGGGGCTGTATGACATACTTAACCATAGTCAGTTCACAGGAGTACATTGCTTATAAGTACCCCATGCAGTAAAACTCGCACTAACCCTTTGTAGTACAGCAGTGAATAGTTGACAGCTCACATCAAATTTATTTCAGGTGCATCGCAGGGTCGGAATGTACTGCTCCTTCAAACTATTCCTGTGCTGGCAAGACTTTTTTTTGACGAGTTGACATTTAAAGCTCTTAAGTGCATGGCACGATGAAGGGCTGGAGATTTAAAGGTACACAAGAGAAATCCAAGTGGATGAGGAGAAAATGTCACTCTCACCAAGTTGTGGACATCTTTTTCGGTCTTATTGCCATTTTTGGCATTCACACTTATGGACATCCAAAAGTAAGCACCTGTAGAAAAAAAGGGAGTTCTAAGCCCACAAATATGCCTGAACAAAACAGTCTGATTGGACAAAGGGTGGATATTTCTTACTTTTACTGGAACAGAGTTGGCTGATGTTACAATTTAATAATGGGGACCCTAAAAGAACAGAGAAAACATTATATTTAAAAAAACACATTAGCAACAATAGGTTTAGGTATTGTTTCTTATTTCCATCAGTAATACAACGCAATACAGTGTCTATTTATACTCCCATACAAATACCCAGTAAATGTGTTAGACTAACATAATGTGAGTGATCGTCCAGGGTTAGTTTTTGGTGCCCTCGCATTATTATTTATACCATACTAGAATATATGACAAATATAGTAAAACATCACTTAATTTGATTTATTATCTAACTCAAATAAAGTGTTTTAAATAATATATCTAAACTGTTGGTTTGTTTACAGTGTGTTTGTTAATCTGAGCGCTCATCTTTATTGCAGAAATGTTTCTGATAAACTTCAAAAAGAAAAAGTTTTCATCATTTACTGACATAGCATGATTCAATTATCACCAGAATCCTTTATTGATCCCTGAGGGAAAATATTTTTTACAGATACTCACAAGATATAAAAGGAACAGAAACAATAGTAGAAGCTGGTAAGTAGAGAATATAATAAAGAATAAAAATCTAAGAATATAATAATAAACAAAAATGTGAATATTTATAGTATTATACAATATTAACGGTGTAAAAATATTCTTTTTAAATAGCAGGAATAAATAAATAGTGTAATAATAGTGCTGGTAGTGATGAGGTGGAATGAATTAAAAATTCATAACTGAGTAACCCAAATAATGAAACAGAGAAAATTGCACCATACGTCAGTTATTACAAGATGCAGTTAATGATGAAATGTCCAAGTGTCTGACACTTTGAGGAATGAGTTAAAGAGTTTGATGGCTTGTATACCATTTCATGAAATTTGTTGTTTTAATTACTCATTATCCAGTGTCTGATAGTGTTTCTACAGATAAATGCTCTTATTCACAGTAAGTGTTCCATAGAGCAGCAACAGCAGTTTGCAAAAGAGATGCTGATAGCCATAGCCATGAAAAGATAAACAAATGAGCAGCACAAAACACATTTGTAAATATGGTCGATTTTGGCGTGTGCTGTAAAAGGAAATCGAATAAAATAAAATAAATTGTGGGTGGTGGTGAAACAGCTCCAAAAATATCTTGGACAACAAAAAATAGGTGTTAAATCTTAGTAAAACATTTCGATGTCTCTTTATGAAGTAAATAATACATAATTTCCTGTTAGTATAAAATGCTATGCCAGGTATGTTGATATTTTTGTAAACTTACTTACTTCTAAAACATTATACTATGCTGATTAATATGTATCACATACTCTATAGAATAAGTAAATAGTATGGATTTGGGACACAGCTATACTGTCAGCATCACGCACCGGTGACCTTAGACGTCTGGTTGCTCCTTTGAGTGACAGGTGTTGCTATGAGAGGACTTGAGGTAGTTGTAGTTGAAGGCACTTCTAGTAAAAAGAAAGTAGGAAGAAGGATGTCAAGTAATAATCAGGAGGAAGCACTATAGTTGAGATAATTAGACATATTATTTCATTGGATATTCTTGTCTGAAAGTGATGCTTACCAAATGAAGGTGAGAATAACCGTGCAACCGGAGTTGTGTCTAAAACATGAAATGCAAATTAAGAGTATAGAGTACTTGTACTTTCTCGTTTTTTGAACAGTCATGTAACATATTCAGAAGGTAATTTTCCCCTACTCAAAAAGTCTATATACTAGTAGCTTTATATAACTGTACTGATAATTTTCAATGATGACTTTCTGGAAAAGCATATTTAGATCTCCAGAAGCCATATTGGTTAAATAAAGGTCAAATAAAATACCGGATAATCATTTAAAAAGTGTGTGTTTTTAAATTTAGGTTCTTATGTAAATGCCTGCATGCCCAGACATGCACAACATGCATGTAAGTGTGTAAGTCACCTGAATACACACCACTGTTAACGCTTTGGAAAGCCCGTGGCCCACGTCTCAAGCGTCTGCGGTCTAGAAGTGGCATAAAAACATTCAGCATTCAACATGCTCTAGGAACATGCAGAACTATGTGTAGTTTTCTCTGCAGCTCTCGGGAGCCATAAGAAATTAGCATTATAAGAAAAACACAATTACATTTGTGCTAGAACAGGCTGATGAGGCCACTGTAGTAATGAAGGATAAGATGCTCAAGCTTCTATTTGACCAACAAGCCGTGCAGTGTGTTAGCTGGATTCAAAGTCTTTTACATTCAGGAATCAGCAATTCTGTTTGCATTCTGTTATAAATGCAATCAATAATTATATGGAAAAGCCACTCATGCACAAGATCCAAGCTTGAACGAAGTTAAAACATTTTGGATCTGTTAGGTAAAGATGAGTTTATGCATGTCTGTCTCACCACACATAAGTCTGGGGTCTCTCTGTGTGGCCTTGGCACTGGTCACACCCCAGTACTGGGAGTTCCAGCCAATCACAGTGCCGTCCTCGCAGAGGCCATGGTCACCAAGGTCCGGCCACATGCGGAACAGGTACAGCTCAATTTCTCCTTGCATGGCTCCCGGGGGTTGGTCCCTTGGACGGCAGCCCAGCCAGAGGGAGCCGGAGGGGGGAATGGCCTGAGCGATGACCGTCCTCTCTGCCACCATTTTCCCATCAACCTGAAACATTGTTAACACAATTTTAAACAAACAGAGAAAGTGCTGAATAAGTACAAGTTTGACTCCTGCAATTACTGGTCCACACTGCCTCCAAATTTGCTCTAGCTTGCTTGCGTTGCTGTAAATTAATTTGAGAGAGAGAGAAACAGGTTGTACTCAGACAATCAAACAGGTTTTAAAGGTTTTCACAGTTTATAGACCAACTTCCAGATTCAGCTGTGACCTGCTTTGCCAGCCATTTTACATCCAAATGAAGATAATTTATCTAAAATTTCAACCCGTCTGATTGTCTGTGTTTCATGCCCTCTAAGGCCTTGTAGAAATATCACCATGTTCCCAGATATTAACTATACTTTTGGTGATAACAGTGTTATCATAACTGATAGAAATGATGGTTAAAACTACAGAAATAAGACCAAAGTTGTAATAAAATGAAGATGTTGTAAAAGTTGTAAAGTAAGTTGTAAAAGTAAAAAGTTTGCAAACTACTGGAAAAAGCCCAAATTATCAAAATTAGCATTAGCATTTTCTGACTTGCTTAGAATAATAAAGTAAAAGTTTTAGAGGTACTCTGCTGTGTAAGTCTACATAGTTCTGCACATAAAAAATCTGCACATACTTCACTGTGCCTTTTTTGTTTATGGGCAGGATTTGGATTGAAAGACAACACAATACACTGTCAAACAATGTGTGGTTATGAACTTGGATTTGTGTAAACGATGTATTTTTGCAAACACTATTTTTGGACAGGCTTTGTCTAGAACTTGTGACATACTCAGTGGTGGAAGGTAACTAAGCACATTTACTCAAGTGCTAAATTTAACTACAGATTTGAGGTACTTTAAAGTTCTACTACAATTCAGAGGCAAATATTGAACTTTTGGCTCTACTACATTTATTTGACAGCCATAGTAACTAGTCACTATGCAGATTAAGATTTTACATAAAAAACACATGATGATGATTTAAAATATGATACAGATGACAAACGATCTGAATACTTTCCCCACCAATACTAGTACACTGCAAGTTTTACCTCCAGGCTAAAGGAGTTGCGCAGTACGTCCCTCCTCAGACACACTCTATGCCATTGTGTTGAGGAAAGCCGGATTGGAAATCGGTGTCGGACCCTTAGCAGCCACCCATACAACGCCTCATCATCTCCCTCCAGACCCAGCTCGGGTCTGGGTGTGTAGATTGAACTGTAGGAGAAGGCCACCCAGGCTCCGGGGACGACCACACGGATGTCGACACACACCGTCATCTTAAAGAGTAGCGGCATAGCGGCTCTGTCCTGCAAGGTCCAGTAGTCCTCACAGCCATTTAATACTGCCTTAATGTCACCCATGAAATAGCCAAGCACTGGAACAGGTGAAAGAAAGACAGATTAAAGGTTTACGTTTTCACAGCAGAGCTGCACTGGAGGCAGAAATTGTCACAATGGTTAAGAGCCAAGGAACTTTTAAAGTTACACTTTAGAAACACGCAAAGGGTTAAAGAGGAAGAACTTAATATAAAGGCTTGTGCTCTGACATATTATCATCTTAAGCTTTTTTGTCCAACTTGACAAACCGTTTCCTATTTACACATTCATCGCATAGGCATACATATTATATTTAATTTGAAGTCATGGTTCTGTTCACCGGTTTTATTTAAGTCCAATATTCATGCTCTCGCTGTATTTATTTTGCAAACTTGCCACTCGCACACAACTCCCGGAAGGGGGGTGGGGGTTTTACTACATTTACATTTACTCATTTGGCAGATGCTTTTATCCAAAGCGACTTACATTTGAGGAACAACATACAATCATCAACAGAGCATCAACTACAGATCTACAACTGACAAAACATAAGAGCAGCAATAAATACTAGTAAGAGCTCACAGTACATATCAAATCAATGGGGTAATACCTAGGGAAGGAAATAAGAGTTAACAAAAATACAATCAAAACAAAAAGTGCAATCAATACAAGATCATTGTAGGGGATAGAAGAAGAAGAAGAGCACAGGAAGTGCATGTTAGAGGTTAGGAGTTAGAGGTGTTATAAGAGGAAGTGTTCTCGGAAGAGACGAGTTTTCAAGAGCTTCTTGAAGTTGGAGAGGGACGCCCCTGCTCTGATGGCGTGTGGTAGCTTGTTCCACCATCGTGGTGTCACAGATGAGAATAGCCAGAACTGGGATTGCGTTGTGTGAAGGGATTGCAGAGCCATCAAGTAGTATTATAACACAGAATGGGCCATGTCTGTTGATAATGTTCATTTTGTTTTAAAGTAAAATTCTGGCCATATCTTACACATTGTACCTTTAAAACATAAAATGTAATCCCTTAAGAAAATGGTTGGTTGACTCTTTGTTAGTAGTACTGTATGTTTGTGTTAATACTTCGATTACTCTTTTTGCAACTCTTTCTGCTACTCTCATTTAACGTGATCAGTTAAATCAGAAAGTGTAAAGAAAAGACTTCAGTTGCTGTTCTTTAGTTCTGTTGCCATTATTGTGACCTCCATTTCTAGCCAAAACCTTGGAACCTGTTAGCATTGCCACTGCGAGTTTGTTAGCATGATGACATTAGCATTTAGCTCAAAGCAGCTATGCCTCAGCACAGCCTAACAGAGCTGCTAGCATACAGCTGTAGACCACCTTTTATATTACTTTTATCTAAACATGATAACTGATATCCAAAGAATGTTAAAGTCAAGGGCAACTGGACTTGGTTGAAGATACTAGAAGATGTTTCTTCAGTTCTGACTGACTGGTAGGGAAACTAAGCTATTTAACCTCAGTGGGGTCGTTTGCCAGGATCGTCGATACCGCTGGTTCGTTAGTGCTCCTGGCTGTTTTAAGGACAGTCTTTATGGTCGTTAGGACCACCTGAGGCCAAGACTGAAAGACCATCGTAGACTGCAGTCTTGACCTGAGGAGTTGGCCTTTCTGTGTTGAGCCATGCGTTTGTGTAGTGGTTGTTTAGGCTCCCCAATATACAGGTCTGTGCATTCCTCACTGCACTGGACTGCATACACTAGATTGCTTTTCTTGTGTATGGGGGTGCGGTCTCTGGGGTGTACCGGTATCTGTCTTAGAGTGTTCTTGGGTTTAAAAAACACAGGGATGTTGTGTTTGTTGAAAATCCTCCTGAGTTCCTCTGATACTCCAGACACGTACGGAATCACAATGTTGTTGCGTTTCATCTTCTTTTCCTCCTCCCCTGTAGTTTTGTTCTTCTTGGATCTTGTGGCTGTTTTCACAAAGGACCATTTAGGTTATCCACAGGCTGTAAGTGCCCCCTTCAGGTGGTTCTGTTCCTTCTCTCTGGCTTGGGCGCTTGTTGGTATGTTTTCCGCTCTGTGGTGCAGTGTTCTCATGACCCCTAGCTTATGCTCCAGTGGGTGGTGGGAATTGAAGAGTAGGTATTGGTCTGTGTGTGTGGGTTTTCTGTAAACACTTTACAGAAAACCCACACACACAAACCAACAATCGGAAGAATTGAAGAAGTCCTTTGGTTGAGGGAACGTCTTCTAGTATCTTCAACCAAGTCCAGTTGCCCTTGACTTTAACCTTCTTTGGATAACTATGACCTGGATGACTGAGAATCTTCACAGACATGATAAACAACACAACACACTTTGGACATGATATTGCTGAGTAGGGGAAAAATTACCTTCTGAATATGTTACATGACTGTACAAAAAGCGAGAAAGTACAAGTACTCTATACTCTTAATTTGCATTTCATGTTTTAGACACAACTCCGGTTGCACGGTTATTCTCACCTTCATTTGCTTTATGTGCAAAAGGAAATCCCATTTCCCTTAATTAAAATCAATATTCCAACTCTGTATCTTCTTTTTTTTCTATGTGAATCAGTAAATACCTTTGGGTTGTGTGGCTGCCAGCAGCAAAAGCCAGATGACTAGTGTCCATCTCCACTGCCCTTCAAAGAAAAGGCCACACATCCTCCTGGAAACATAAGGTGATGTAAATTTGACATCCGTGTCTCCTTCTGGTTAGGTCAGTTACTTCTATATTATTCATTCATGGCTGTTTCAAATATTAACATTTCATTTCAAGCTTTGTGAATGAGAACGACAATAATCTTCCCACATCTTCCCACATTTCTGTTATGCTCTTCCTTTCCATCTGTGTTTAAAGATGTGGATATGATCACCGCGTATCATTGTTTCAGTGTAGGGTTACACAGAAATTCTCCTTTTCAGCCGGTAAACAAAATGATCTAATATTATCTGAGGCTTTGTCTACCCTGACGGATCGCCTGCAGGGCAGGGATGGACACAGCAGATCGGGTTACTCTTCTCCACATTCACACCATCTTAATGTTGTTGATACACTTGTAAAATGTTGATAATACAGTATCTCACACTACACAAAGGCTCATATAATCTTATATAATCTGCTACCCTCATTCATAAAGCAACATTAATTGTTCTCTTAAGCCACTATAAAAACCTAAAATTGATATAATGTCACCTTATAAGTTGATATGGAGAAGTTGTTAGCAAACAGTTGCCTTTCTACACAACCCAATACAGAGCAACAGTATCATTCAATTGAAGTTGTATTTCTGTTCAGCTGATGAATTTAAGTCTAATTTTCACTCAACTTTTAGCTCTGTTTTGGTCTCCCCCATCTCCCAAGGTAGATATCTGGCTCCTTAGCTCATAAGTGCTCCACTATGTTCACCAGTTATTTGCTAACTCTTTGCAGTTTTGTGCTGGGAAGGCATTACAGTGTGTTTATGAGAGCTATTTTGCATTAAACAGCTGTCTGCTGCACCCGGAAATGAAGCTGATGAAAACAATGGATCAAACACTTAAAAACACAAAATCAAAACAACAAAAAACAATAGGCCTAAAGACCCATGCATTTTAAAGCTTTGGGGACCTATAGAGTAGGTGATAGTAGCTGTGGACTTTCGAGCGCTTTTTGACCCCTTTAAAATTACACACATCTTTTGATCTATTGTGTGTATATATAGGGGAGACCAGGAATGGAATTTCCCCAATCAGGAGCAAGTTATAAATTACCTGATTCACTCTGCACATGCTCAGTTTAGACTTTCTTCCACATGTGAAAAAGTAAGCACCCTGTGGCAGGCACAGCCAATTAGAAAGTTTTTTTTTTACTACATTTATTTTTGTTATAGCATTACCTGCTTTGTAGTTTAACTCATCAAACTTAAATCACGCTTATTGTGTGTCTATGTAGATATCATTCATGCAAGTTGTTAGTGTTGTTTCAGCTGTAAGGTGAGCTAGTTCATGGCTACAAGAGTCTGATTTAGTTGTAACAACGTACTCACATATGTTCTTTGAATTTCAGTATATGTTTCTGTCCAGCTGATGAATTTAAGTCTGATTTTCACTCCTTTCAATTATAAAATTGATTGATGAAATATATATATGTTACTATTATTAATTTATAATTTATTTTTATAATTTAACTTACTTAATTTTATAATTTTATAATTCAACAAGTACATGAATAACAGTTCATACTAAAGCTGGAAGCCCCGGAGTGACTTACAGTGAACAGGTATGTACCTAAGCAGATATGCAAAAGACACTACCACTTCCACGGAATCCACTTGTTGCAGTCCCAAATCATGTAAAATCATAAAGTAAAATGATATGTAAAGACATATAAAACAATAAAATGCAGGAACTGTGATGTGAATCCTTACCCATCCACACAAAGCCAGACATATTGCACCTCCCAGTGCAACACAAAATAAACTTCAGAATTCTACTAATAATCCTGAAAGCCTTTAATGGTTTGGCTCCCCATTACATTTCTGATCTGCTCACAGACTGCAGTCTAATTAGACCTCTTTTAAAAGCCAAGATACATAAAAAGGCATAATAAAAAATATGAAATACTTATGGTAAGACACAATTATGAGATATGTCAAATCTTAGCATTTAAAATTTTGTTTTTATCTTTTCTGGGTAGAAATGGGTGTGAGGTCAACCGGTGGTGGTTTTCCAGTCCTACCTGTATCTGTATCTGTGTTTATGTTTTTGCAATTTCTTTTGAGGCTGTGTGATTTATGTTTTTCAGTTTTCTTTTTTTGCTCTTTGCATATTTTATTTATCATATCTGTAATATATGTAAATATTTCTGTAAATATTTCTGTAAATATTTCTTATTACTTTAGTGTTTTGATATAGTACATTGAGTTTACATGCAATAAAATGTGTTATTTAAAGTATAATACAATGTATTGTGGTGCAGAGAAATCTACTGAAGTTAGCATGCTAACCAGCTAGCCCAGCCCATATTGTCTCATAATACCACTTTGTAATTTAAGAGGTGATAGTCCATCAGTATAGAT